TATTTGACTGTTATGCAGGTGTCTGTGCAGTTCAGTACCTCAATGCACTGGTGTGTGTTCCCTTTGCTGCTTGCTTACCAGGGATTGCTGTGTACCCAGTGAATGTTGGTTTACACAGCTGTATGAGGTGAGAACTCATTCCTGACTAATTAACAGGTCAGACTGTGAGATCCCAGATTGTGATGGTAGTGAGGAAGAGCTGGCAGAGCCTCAGGGGTTCCTGCAAGGGATGTGGGAAGTTGTGCTGCTGAGTTTTCAACCCCGGGTGGATGCCGTGAGCTTTGCATGGTTACTTACTTGTGCCAAGTGTTGATACATTCCCTAATCAGTTCCAAACTTTTGATGTTTATCTTTAGGATTAGGTAAAAGTATAAACTGTGCCTCATGCCATCTAAAAAAAATGCCCTGGTAAAACCCTTGGATGACATGTCGCTGCAGGCATGGCACTGGTCTGCTGGAGTGAGGCTGGGACACATATTTGCTGGTGATTTCACTGGCTTTAGGGACATGCCACAGGCATCTGCTGCCTCCGTCCTGCCCTGCTGGAAGGCAACAGTAGGTAGGAAATGTGTTCTTTATTTATAGTTTTAGTAGCAGCTTCACGTAACACCATTTAGCAAGAAGTTTATTAAAGGCCAATGACCTTCCAGGCCTCTGTGTGTTGGAGCAGATGAAATCGCAGTTGTGCTGGTCCAGAATGTGACCAGTGCTCCTGGCTGTGAGATGCCCAGGGCACGTGGGCAGTGCAGCAATGTGAAGGGGTAGATGGAGGTGAGCTTCACCTGGGGAAAGGGCAGCAGCACAAGGAATATGCCCTGAATCCTGTGCCAGGCATCCCCTTGTTCTTGTTCCTGGCCTGCCCAGCTTCTGTCCCATGGATCGGTGAAGCAGCCTTTCCAGAGAGATGATGGGACATCTGCCATGCTGATTGCCACAGCAGATGACAGCCATTGACTGCTGCAATCACCAGATACAGGGGTTTGAGGCATTTTATGTGCTGTGCAGGAAATGGAGGAAAGGATGTGTTAAAACAGGACACCCAGTTACCGTGTGTATTTCCTGACAATGAGCTAACTATGAAACACTTTCCTTCACCTAAAACTGTGTGTCTTCACAGTTTTCCTGAAGCTCTGAGACAAAGGAAGATTAATATTTATCTTGGGAGACTGAGTGTTGTCAAACAGGTGTGGTCTGCCAGCAGCAGCATGGAACCCACAGGATCCCTCTCGAAAGCTTCAGGAGCCGGCAAGGGTTTCCAGGGACCAGCCAGCACAGAGAGGGAGGTGTTGAAGGAATATGAATGCTTTGGGTACAGAAATCCTCCCTGAGCACAGAGCAGCCTGAGGGGATGGTGTTCTACAGCCCATCAAGGCTGGACCCTGGACAGGGGTTGCAAATCTGTCACGGCATTTTCCTTGGCGCAGGGATGTGATGGGTTGCAGCCTGGCTGCCTCGTGGTGGCCAAGCATCACACTGCTGCTGGAGCAGATCTGTGTGAGAACTAATAATAAATCATAAGCAGACTCAGGGTCTTGTTTCTTCTTTCTGGGAAGAGGCAAGTCTTGTCTCTTTCTGGGAAGAGACAAGAGGCTGACAGCACATCCCTCTGTGTGGCTGGATCTCACCAGTTGGTTGGTGTATGTCAACCCAGCACGCTGTGAGGGGCAGCATGGGGACCCCACAGCAGGGTGGGCCAGGGCCTGTTCCACTGGGAGGCTGCATTGAAGCAGGCACAGAAAGGCTGTTGGAGTTGTAACTCCCATGTGATGGCCGTGCTGGAAGAGGCATCTATCCATGGTCTCTCCTGCACCATCCATGGCTGTGGAAGATAGGGTGGCTTCCTGTGAGGGTGCAGCAGGATCTCCTGCCATCTGGGGTTTACTGGGTCTTTCTCTTGCTGTTTGATGGTGCCTCAGATGTCTCGTTGGCTCAGGGAGGGTAAAAATGTGACCACGTGTGTGGAGGAGGAGTGAGAGCTTTGGAGAGGCAACAGCATTGGAAAATCCTGCAGATTTATTCTTGTGAATGCTTTGATTTATGGGAATTTGTTCTAGTTTCGATCCATCAATGAAGGTAAGTTAAAGGTCCTCAAGTCTAAAATGAGTTTACAGTCAGTTCTTGGCAAGTCAGCATCTCCGGTGAGCCAAGATGTATCTGTAACCTCCCCGACACATGAAATGCTTCTGCCTGGCTGTGGCACTTGGGCTAATGCTGAATTACAAACCCTCCCATGCAATGGATGCTGTAAATATTTAATTTATAATTTACCACTTGCACAGCAGGAGCGCCAAAGGCTCTGATGGATGCAATGTGGGACCACTTCAGCGGTCTAGAATGAGTGCAGGGAGAAGGATGCAGCACAGTATCACAGCAGTGATCTGGAATGGGTGCAGGGAGATGGATGCAGCACAGTATCACAGCAGTGATCTGGGATGGGTGCAGGGAGAAGGATGCAGCACAGTATCACATCACAGCAGTGGAATGGGTGCAGGGAGATGGATGCAGCACAGTATCACAGCAGTGATCTGGGATGGGTGCAGGGAGAAGGATGCAGCACAGTCTGTGACAGTGGTCCGGAATGGGCGCAGGGAAGCTGACCCCAGTTGTTTGGATAATGGGGGGCAAACCAGCCCTGAGAGCCAACCCCTGCTGCCAAACCATAACCACAGCGTTTGGAGTCTATTCCAAGCTCATTTCTCGTTGGAGCAGCCTTGCTCTGCTGGGGCTCAGATGGATGGGAGTGACCTTCAGGAATAGCTGTGCTAATGTTTATTTTATCAGGACCCAGCTCCGAAGCAGCAGAACTGCCGGTTATTTTTAACCCAGGCGCTGAGCAGCTGGAGGCCTGGCTCAGCAGAGCCCAGTAACAAATGCTCTAAAGCAGGGCCGTGCATCATTGCTGGGCTGAGGAATGTTCCTGACAGGGAAGGCAATGCTGGTTTTGCCATTAACTCCTTCGGGATTCTTTGGGGATCCCTGTGCTCTTAGGACTGCTGTCTGGGGGGTTGGTGCTGCCAGAGCTGAGGGCTGACATGTCTCCCATGACTTGCCCTGTCCTTCCTGGAGCTCCTGCCCTGTTCCCATGCCATGGGATGAGCACTCTCTGTCCCTTGGGAGAGCTGCTCATTCAAATCTTCATCCATCCCTGGGCCAGACCCCACCTCCCCTCTGTCCCCATTGCACCCCATGGGGTCCCAGCCCCCAGCTGCCTTTTTAGGTTGTGTTTGAGAAAAGCAGGACCAGGGAAATGTGGTGGCTGAAGCTCCACACGGTAAGGGGAGGTGGATGACATGGTTTTCCTGGAGGGTTGTGTTGATAGGTTTTGTTGGCCAGATAACCTGGGCCTGCACATGAAGCCTGGTCCCAGCAGTGCCCACCCCAGCCCAGGGGTCCCCACTCCCAGTCCATGCTGGGAGCAGGACCCAGGACTGGGGTGGAGCTGAGAGGGGTCCTTGGCTTCCTGTAGGGGAAGCAGAGCTGAGGTGTGGAGAGTTCTGGCCATGAACCCTAACCTGGCTCAGGGAAGCAGCAGCTGTGTGTGGAGCACTGCACGTGGAGATTTTATCTCATCCTAAAGATAAACAGAAAGGGAAGCTAGAGGACGGGCTGTCCTGGGTGGGAAAAGCTCCCAACTGCCCATCCAGCCTGGCTCACAACCAGGCTGGGAAACATCAGCAATGTCAGGGTGACTTGGGTAAGACATTGTGAGCAGGGTCCCCTTGTCCCCCAGACTCCCCCCGGGCTGATTTGTCCTCTCTGTGGGGCTGCAGTGGCTGTGGAACCCTCATCGGTAGCTGGAGACCACCAACTCTAATGGCTTTTGTGCTGTTTGTTTACAGGAGCAGGGAGGCTCCCTCCCAGTTTGTGGGGAGCAGGCAGGAGGGCTGTTCTGGCAGGGGAAGTGTTTATCTTCAGTGGAGCCTTGACCCCAGTTCCAGGCGTGAGATGAATTCCTGCTCTCCTTCTGCATCCCTGCACGGGATCCAGCCACCCCTTCACCTACTCCAGGCTGGGTGGATAGCCCTGCCCAGAGCCTGGGTGTGCAAAACCTGTTGGTTTGATTTCCTGTATGGGTTCTTTCTCCTGTATTCTGTGCACAGTCACAGCATGGAGTCATTCCTGATAGGGGCAAAACATCCCAGGAACAGGTGGGGTGGCAGCCTTGGGGATTGGGCACAGATTTACCTAGTGATGTGCTGAAGAGTTATACCATGGGACTGGGAGAGCTCCGGGGGTCACCCCTCTTCCTGGGTACAACCACTGAGCTGCAGAACACCCCGAGAACACCAGGCCAGGCCAACTCAGGGCACAGTGTGTGGCTGCAGTGCTGGCCATGGCATGCCCCTGCCTGAATGCTGGGCTGGAGGAACTCCCCCCCACCCGCTGGGGCACTGGGTGAGGAACTGCTGGGTGCTGCTGTGGGGAAAGGATGTGCAAGAAGAGCCAGGTCTGGCTTTTAAAGTGAAAAATAGAATTTTTATTCAGTGCTTGCATAGTTGGTTCATGTCAAGGCAATGTCCTGTCCCTCCCTGCAGTGTCTGCAGTGCCAGGATGGTTATTGAAGCCGATGCCTGGCTGTACCCAAGCAGTAGGTTATTTGCAGTATGTATTTATAGATTTGTTCTATATGTATATGATGTATAAACAGCTTTGTGCTCACAGTATACAATCTCTCTCTCTACTGAGCTGCAGCAGAGAATCATGGCAGCGGGTGCAGTCGGGGCTGGAGGGGGTTGTTCTGCTGCTCCATCTATGCAATGGGCTCTGCAGGCTGGGGGTCCTGGCACAGGAGGACAGGCAGGACAGGGACATTACCACCCCTCAGGGTGAGGGAATGGCAGTGAAGAGAGTAGCAGCCACAGGAGCCCCCAGATGCCACCAACTCTTTGTCCTGTCCCCACTCCCATGGAGGAGCACGGCACTGCTGCTGCCACATCGGGCTCAGACTGGGCTCTGGCCATCATCCTCCGTGCATGGCCAGGACTGTCTTGGGCTAAAGCAAGTGGGGGGCCAGCGAGGCAGGGTTTCTGCAGCCAGGGGGCCATGGTAGCTGCTCACATGGGCTGGGGTGCGATGATGACGTTGCGGTAGCTCTTCACCCCCGTCAGCTGGTCACTCTCAAAGTCCACCATGAGCTTGTGCAGCCCCGACAGCTGCGGCACCAGATCCATCCGGAATTTGGCCTC